GACTGCTATATTATAAACGAAAGGAGAATCTTTTATTTAATAAAATCACCAAACAAATTAAAAACTTTGTCTTATTCAAGAATTAAACGACTGCACAATGGTTATATTGTTGCATGAGACTGTATCTGTCCTCTCTACTGTGTACGTTTGACAAAGCGAAGCAAGCCATTAACAATAGGACAACATGTGGTAGGACAATATAGCTTGTATATCAAGATAAAGTTCAAAGGCGCAAACAACTTGACAATTAAATCTTTTCTCCAGAGACTTGTCTCCTCCCAGAAGTCTTTTGTTATAGTACACTGATCATAGGGGTTTGATGCCCTTATGATAGCCCTTCATATCTAAACTTCAAAGAAGCACAAGACCTTTTTTAAAAATTAAGAATAAGATGCCTAAGTTAAGTAAATAAAAGTGAAAGTACTTCAATCATACAGGATTTGAAAACTCATAGGAATTGATAACAACGATCCATGTATCCACCCTGTAATTTTTAAAAGATACCAAAATAAAACGGGACAAAATGTTAAAAGATGAACAAAACAAAAGAAGCCCTTCTTTTTCGCAGGTACTAACAAAGCTATCCATGTACAGTGGTACGTTAAAGCAAACATACAATATGTCAGCTGTAAATTTAGAACGACAGTTAACTGGTATTATACAATGACATCAAGTAGACGATAGAGTATGCTAGTAAATTATGCTAAAGAAATAAGGGCAGAAGGTTACACACGCACCATCAGAAGCCGAGTCAACATCTACTCATTTCTCTTTATATTACCCAGGAAGAATTGTCATCTGAACAGTATTATTTTTTTTCCAGAAAGTTTAATCTAAAAACAATTCATGTTATTTTCAAATGAAACCAGAAAACAGCTAGTATCGTAAAAGTATCAATTTTCACAGATATTGCGTTGTATTTACATTTCATCACAATCACTGGGTAATAAAATACAGATTTTCCAGTGAAGCAATGTGTTCTATTGTTTATTTACATGCTCATGTTCATTCAATTTAGCAGATTTCACTTACCAGTGGGAAAATAAAACCCAGTGATTAATTAATGATTCAACTGTATTTTCAAACTGTTTCTATCACAATTGCAGATATACATGCCCAATTTACTGAACAACATCTAAGGGAATATCACATTCAAACTGTTTGATCCAAACTTATCATTATAGTTATAGAAAATTTAAAACGATTTTACCCGGAAATCCATGAATGTGGTGAATGTAGTGTGAGAATAAAAAATGATCATCAGATTTGGTTTCTTAGACTCAATGATTAGAAGACAGATGAACCAGGGAAACAAAATTGGGGAGTGTTACATAAACAAAAATTCCAAATCGATGATGCATTACCTAAAAAATGTTAGCACAATCACTATTATTAATAGGTTTGATGCCAAATTTGTGCAGGCTACAATCAATTCCTACAATGTAATGCTAAATATTGACAGTCTACACCATCAAAACTTGCATAGAAATAGGCATTTAATTTATACTATAAATAAGCATCTGTAGTAGTAGTAGTAGACATAGAGATGGGAGAGACATGTGGTTGTCCAAGTACGGGATATTTGCTCCTACATTATACAAACTCAGTATAATGAAGTATTTGGCGTATTCCAGATAAAGTATTGTTTAATATAGTTTAAAGAAGAAACATTACAGAGAGATGCGGGCAGTCTAGAATATGTAAAAAGAACTATTTGCATATCTATTGTATCATGGCTATTAGGTTATGATGCAATGTACATGTAAGGAATAGGAAATGAGGTATAAATTAAAGAAAGATTCAAGAAAAGAAGTTACGAACATACAAATCAATGAATGAGTGATGACAATATATAGATATATATATGTATATAAAAGTTTTGGACATTGTTTTACATACCAGTACTCGTATGCGAGTTCAACATAACACCATTGGGGTTTACTGGGTAAGCTGGTGTACATATTGCACAAATCATGTAAGATGCACTAGTTTCATCTCACAGAATCTTTTTTTCATTATTTTTAGATGTGAGTCTACTTTCCTTTCATTTTTATTTATTTGTTTTATAATTCCAGAAGTTGTAATAGGTGATAAGCTTAGTAGCTTGTTTAGAGTTTCTTTTCAAGGTAGGAACAGCGAAAGAGTGTAAAGTACTGAACGTGTGAGCATACAACATGAGACAAAGCATTAACATGCTGTGAATCAAGTGGGATGGCACTGTGAGAGGTGGCCACTTATATACAAGTATATTCACATGCAAGTTGCATGAACTTCATTAACTTAAAAATGAAAAACTCTATTCGTTCAGAATTCTCAGAGAATGCAGACAAAAGTGTAAACATGTAAACTTACCTCAATGATATCATGGTTAGTTCTGCTTTCGTGGGGTTCATTGTATTCAGTGTATTTGAGTAACACTTTGTCCATGTCTGTGCTAGCATACTGGAAAAGTTTATTTGAACTATTGAATATAATGAGAGCAATTTCGCAATCACAAAGGACACTCAGCTCATAGGCTTTTTTCATCAGACCAAATTTTCTTTTGGTGAACGTGACCTAATAACAGAAACAGAATAATATTGCAAGTAAGTACATGCATACTGATGCATATTATGCACATTTCAATAATTCACTTCAGCAAAGACTTTTCACAGAGCGTATTTGTAAACTTTTAAATTGATGTTTGGCAATTTGTTAAATTCTCATCATAGAAACAAGTAGTTTTAGGAGTTAAGAGAAACAAATTGTTTTACAATGCAGGAAAAAAAAAACAAGACAGTCAACCATTCCCATAAGAAATTTGTTTTGAATGGTTAGGAAGACGATGTCAAAATCACACAAGGGTCCTGATAACTCTCACATTCTGAATACATGTTAATATCAATCAATCTTTATCTCTTGGGTGCTACCTCCCTAAATCTCCCACATAAAGATATTAAAGTTTATCTTACCATGGAAATAAAATTATGATTTGTCTACACTTATGGAATGAACAATTTAATAAGAATTACACACACATTATAATCATTCTTGATCCCCTTAAAAAACAAATTTAAACTCTTGTCATTTTTCAAAAACACAATTTTCTCTTGTAGTCAATGGCCATTTGGTCAAAAAATATGAAAGACAGTTTGAACAAATTTATAAAAGTATTACAGCAATCAAGAGAACTAGCCAAAAAGACCACTCTAGTCATCTGAGAAATCCCCCACATCACAAAACTACAGTTAAATGATGCATTTAATTCAACCCACAGGTTTCAGAGAATGACAAAATATCGAAAGAATTTTATTATGCATGTATGGCTGCTGAAGAAGAAGGAAAGACACTCAAATATCTATTCCTCAATCCTATTCAATCCTCTTCATAGCATTATCTTATTAGCCATGGAATCCATGATACATGTACTAACTATTTATGTTTTGGTTAACTTGCACTTGGAAGTGAAAGAAGCTACCAGCATATGATCAGTAGCTTCGTCCTTGAAGCTCAGTTACATTGTAGGCATGTTTTAATAAGATCATGCAATACTTTCAAGATTAAATGTCTGGAAAGGTGAGGGCAAGATATCTACTTTTAATATATTATATTTTTTTAGCCAATAATTTTGACACATTTTATGTTTTTCACTTGTTCTGAAAGTGAAGTTTCACAAATTTGCTAAAAGGGGATGGGATGCAACTTTAAATATTCCATGGGCTTTAATTTCGGTAATTTTCTGATATGAACAGACGAACAAATTAAAAAATATTACAAAATTAATGCTTTTACAGTACTACTGTGTTTAAAAACTTGATGATGGATCAGAAAAGACTTTTTGGGCGTTTTGTATGGAATTTATTTTCACTGATTTTTGATGAGTTTAATGTGAAATATAGGAAAATAAGTTTATTCGCTGGATTTTATTTTCACGGAATCATCCCTTCAGCGAAAATAGCGAAAATAAATTCCAAGCGAAAATAAAGTATTCTACAGTACTCTGTGGAAAAATAGACCAGACAGGAATGTGCATTCTTTACAAACCAATGTTGATGATAATAGAGTTTACATACTGACTTCAGTGGATGGCAAAAGAAACATAATGCACAAATCGGTTTTATTAAGATTGAGCAAACACACGACAAAAAAAAACAAGTCACTGTCCCTTCTCGTAAATAATTGACAAGCTAGAGCAAAACACATGTGTTTTTGGCTGCAGCATAGTTGAAACATACAACCAACTAACCTGTAAGTGACTATCCCTAAGGCATCACACCCTATTCAGTGTTTTACTGGCTGCACATTGTATATTGTAACCAGACGGTATAACATATTGTCAAGGGGACAATCGAGTAGATGTTGTGTGTGTTGGTAAACAGTTTAGTGTTAGGACTATCACGGCTATTTAAATACTATGCTTCAACATGGTCTAAAAAGAATATGATCTGATTCATTGTTTAGTGAATGTAAATATCTAAGCAATTTTGATATTTGCTCCATTAGTAGCACATGCACTCATGTAAATTATAGAGGTATCGTCAAAATAAGTAATATTTTGATGATTTAATGTACAACAAATATGATTTTTGGTTTCTATTGCACCTCTATTAGAGCAAATACATTATATATGCAACCTTGTTATCGATTGAAATCGATATTGTGGAGATGGTTTAGAAATTGGGCTTTAAGGCGGAATCCTACTCATAATTCTGGGGGGGGGGATTATAAAAATCTAATAACAATATTAAATGTCTAAATCAGTCTAATGGATTATTTGTTGTCTTTCAGACTGTATTATTTCATTTTTAAAATCAAATTTAAAGCTATTTAAAGACAATGCTCTGTAAATTCTGTTAATTGCATCACAGAACATTTTCAGATATGACAAATCATTATTAGAGTTTTAATGTAAAAAAAAACAAAAAACACACACATGAAAATTTAAGCCAAAAAGAAAATCTGAAACCTCTTTGTGAGTTATCCAGGTCCAAATCTGAAATATTTGACTCATTATTTAAAACCTGTCATGCATTGTTGATACTAAATGCAAATAAACCAGTATATATTATTAATGTTCAATATTGAAAAGTCGCCCAGACACAGTAGCAACAAGAGTAGAATCCTAAAGGCAGAGATCTAATTTTGACTTTGTGATATTGTCATTTTCAGAGAGAAAATCCATCAACTTTAGAGCACTTAAAGATGTTAAAAACTCAATCATAAATGTATCTATATGGGAATGATCAGTCATTTTGCAAAAAACTTTTGACCCAGACATCTTTTAAGTACTTCAACTATACATATTATGTTAAACTCATAGCTTCAAAAAACTAAATATGGGCAACAAAACAACTTTAATGAAAAAACTGCTACCATTACTGAATTTTTTACCAACAATGAACTCCCTGAACCAAGAATGGAAACCCCCACATATTCAACATTACACTGCATCTTTCTTATACTGACTGGCTCTTAGTATTAAATATAGCTAATGGTTTGGCATTTACAGTGTTGAGTAGGTTTTGATCTTAAAACAGTTTCACACAAATAATTGTCCCAATTATTATACTGATGGTGAAATGGACTTACTGAATTACTGAAACTGACTGTTAACCAGTAATCAAATTTGTATTTACAGCTGTAACATACAGCTGTCTATGAACAAGTTGACAATGAAACACTAGTGGTGTCTTCATAGTGATGGCACAGATAGGGGTAAGGTGAATAGCACTACAGGGTGAACACACATTGAGATCTCAATACGTGAGGGTGCTGGCATTGTGTTGCTGGGTAAATAGATCTGCCCCTCATACACACACCTGTTTAAAGACACCCCTCACTCTTCCTCCCCGCTAGTAAGTAATAGGTTCAATGTCCTTTTTAATTTAAGCATGATATTTTGGCTTATTTTACAATTTGGAATATTTATTTCACAGCATTCCAAATGAAAAATGAAATTAAAACAATTTGCAGAGAACTGAAATTGAACAAATATTTTTATAACTCAGGGAATTAAGGTGAATATCTATGTTGCTAAAGCTGGGCCTCTAATCAACAGAACTACATCCTATGAAATACGGCAATCCATCTAAAGCTAATGCTCAATTTGACAACTATTTTATATTTAAGATTGTTCACAGAATACTAGAAACGAAAATGTCAAGTTTGGGAAGAGAACTGCAGGAAAAAAACCTGATAAAAACCAACATGAAAGGCTACTACTATGCTGTGAATGTAACATAACACATCATGACCTTACCTGTCTGTTCCGTTCATCATTGATTCGGGATATTTGAATTTTCTTTCGTCCCATGTTTCTGCGAGTACTTGTTGAGAGAGAAGATGCTATAACACCGATTATAAACTGTTTAACTTGAGATCATCACCTAGATCGGTTGAAATAGGAAAGTTACCTGAAAGAAAAGAACAACATCATATTAATTATAAAAACCAGCCATCCGTGCAGTAAAAAAAATGTGTATTTCAGTCATTAATCCTGGGGAAACACCACTAACAAAATATGAAAAGCGTAAAAATAACCAATTAGTAAAAATCTCAAATTAGAAGCCCTATATTTACCACTGATTACTATACGCTATGGACTTTAGCAGGAATATCTCCTTCTGAGCAAAAATAACCTGGCTAGAGGTCTTTTAAAGAGAACACTGTTTACATACATTTGCTGGTAGCTGTTCTCAGTGCTCACTGGCTGAAATGAGCAGAGAGGAAACCTGCACACATGTATAATGAGCATGAATATTCATGAGCTAAGACAATGATGAGCTAGTAATACAATACATAGTAATTGAACAATATGGCTAGTTGTCCCATGGCAGACTTGTTGAAGTCAGGACAGCAGCAAAAGAGGGCAATTGTTTATGCAAAAACCCACCAGCACCACAGAGACAATCGACTATCAATAAAGCCAGTTATTGTCAGGTATCCATATGTAGCTCACCCACTGGACACACCACCTGATGTCCAGTAGTCATAATATCAACAACGTCCACTACCATATCAGACAGAAAGGAATTGTTGTGTATGCACCTCTCGAGGGGGTTTCAATCAAATTACAAATTTTAAAAGTAATTTTTGCCATACTTAAAATACAAATGTCATGCACAAAAAAAATTAAGAAAATATTATACAGGTTTGTGTGAATCTGAATTTGTGCAGTTTTAATCTGATCTACTCATGCATGTTTCCATGGAGACGATATTTCATCCTGTCTAGATATTTTGCATGGTCTGAAAAATGTACATATTGATATTAATATGAATTTGAAATCTAAATTTTTAAAACAATTTATACAAAATAATATTTGATCATTACATTAAATTAGAATAATTGTCAGCACATGCTCAATAGATTCAAAACTTCTATCAGTTGAGACGACAAACACCGAACATATATACATACACGTATAGTTTAGGTTAAAATCATACTTAGGAGACGGTTAGATATTTAACATCGTGGCAAGCTCTAATAAAAGCTATTTACAAAGAAAGTTAAAGTAGTCTGCATAAATTTCATAAATAAAATGAAACATCAAATAGTTCAGGCATGGCAGCAAAATTCATACGAGTCTAATCAGACGCAAACGTGAGCAAAATATAGTTTTTTAACATCTTTCACCTTTTCAGCACCAGTTCCTTCTATTCATCAGAAATTCACAAATTAGTTCTGTATATAGTCTGCACTTTCCTTCAGAAGATTAAGACAAAAATGGTTACATTTTTTGTAGTAAAAACTGAAAATTGACTAATTTCATTTCCAGAAATATTGAAAAAAGTACAGAATAATTTTAGCGAGAAAGTCTGGTGGTGAAAAGGTTAATACAAAATTGAGGGAAATTTTTCACGAATAAATTTAGAGATAGAGAAAGACAGTGAAAACCATTCTCTAGTGCAACCATCATTTCTAATTTTCCCTAAATTGAATAACATCATATGCAAAAGGAAAAATATATATATACTTTAATAAACTGCCAGGATTTGTCATTAGATGCATCTAAGTATGAAGTGCTTCGATATGAATGGGAGGGAAAAACAGTATCACAACCCTTATAAGACTGACAAGCCTCTATTTTTAACACTGTCCTAGCGAGTAGCAACAGCAGATTTCAATGTTAAACTAATTATGATTAATATTACAAGTTTTCTCCATATTTCTCGCATTGGTAATCATATTCTTTAAAACATTTGAAAAGTAGAGAATATTTTTGATGAAGTAGCATTTTTGTTTCTAGAGAATAAATTAGTGCTTAATATTTGTTGATCTAAATATTCGACAAGTGATATGGTATATTTAGGTCTATGTTAGCTGGATACTGGGTAACATAATGTAATAGAGTTGATGTCAAAGTTTCTAATGCACAGTAACAGTAACTTCTTCTGATGGTGCAAGCATGTAACTAAAGCAAGGCATTTTGGGGTTTGGTAAAGGAACCAACCGATTTCGCAAAAGAACGTTAACTTTACAAAGTTATACAATTATCTATTATAGAAAGTGTCAATGAATGTGCGTTTCCACTGAAGTAGGATTCAGAACATTCGTCTCGCAGTCCTATTAAATTAGCAAAAATAATGAATTTTCTGGTTTTATTACAGTCAAGTTGTTATAGTAACATATCAATTTCTATCGTCAGAGCACTAACGCAACCTCTAATTACGCTCACATCATTTAGTTTTCTACATCTCACTTATAAAAAAAGTTTGGATAATTTCTTGTATTTTTGTTGCCAAGGGTTTTAGTTAATTCCAGTTTGAGGGTTGAAACATGTTAAAATTATTATAAGTCACCATAATATTTTAAAATGGATCTTTTTTTAAAAAATAACAAATTAATATTTTGACTATACTATTGATAATGAAAAGGTGGGATATTATTTTCTACCAAATTCTTATTAATCAGTAACGATTATTGAGGACAGAAATGAAAGTCAGATCTACAAAATATCTGTATAGACATGTACAATTTTTAATTCATGCTAGATTTACTATTGGCTAGAAGCATTGAATTAAAGGCAGTGAAGATTAACGTAATAGTAATCTGCTTTAATTTTGCAACAAATTTTTGTGACTTTAACAAGTCAGCCAGTGAATATGTCACTGGGATATCTGAGAGGAAAAGATGAAAGCATCTGAAAGGTCAAAGCATGGTGAACCATGGCGTACTGTATTTGCTCTATTAGCAGTGCATGTGCATATTGTAATAATCCACTGTACAGTAAATGCCACTAACTGGTTTTACATGTCCAGCAGCAGAGCAAAATAAAATTGTCCTAATTTATGTGTACAATACACATGTGAATTGTTCCCAGAGGTCACAATAGTTAGTCATAAACTAGATTTAGGGTTTTCACTGAAACTCAGTAAGAAATCATTTACTGCATTAACAAATTGATTCTGAAAACCTTGCTCATGTGTTGTGAGGTCAAGGTCTGTAGTGGTTGGTCTGTCTGATAATTTTTAGCACTAATTTGCAGCAACACTGATGAAACTTTGGCTTCCAATACCAGAATATATCCCAATGCAGTAATGCTTGATAAATCATTCAACAAGTCAATATTTTTCAGGAATCTGACTGTCCACATAATACCATAGCAACATACCATAAACGAAGGAAAACAAATTTGGACAGATACACAATTCAAATAACAGATGTTTTTTTACATGAACAGTAGTTCAGCCATGTGTATTCATTAGTCCAACAAATAAAATGTTTAATCTTTACACTTATTGGGGAATGAACACACAGCAGTAAATATTGAGTAAAGCAATGCGCAGAATGTCACGGTTATAATAAAGTCAAAATCATATTTATTACAATTTTTCAAGTAAAAAACATAAAAAAACGACAAAAATGACACAAAGCAAATTTCACACTCGACCACTATGGGCTTAAAATTCCTACACAAGAAAAATAATACCAATTTTCCTTTTCCAAAGAAATGTTTTCTTCTCTGTATTTTTTTTTAACAGATGCAAATATTTCGATCAGTTGTATTTTGCATATAGTCTTTAAATATAGCTTTCAGTGAAAAAAACAGGGTTGAATCTAATTTTGGTCATTGTAACTTATGAAGGCAGTGGAACAGAGAAGAGAGCATGTCAAGAGATACTTAGGTGGGCTTTTGGCTCCCTAACTCAGTACCATTATCACTCACTTTTGTGAACGTTAATTTGAAAACAGATCGGGTTCAATATATCAGAGCTGAAATTAATTAACACATCAACTGCAGAACACTTCGAAGATAGTCACGGATTGACATATCAATCGCATAAAAAACTCTAGCAATGTGTTAAGCACTTTCCCAATTTTAGAAGTAATAGAAACAGAGAGAAGTCAGAGCTGGACCTCTCAGATTTGTTATTTCCTTTCAAAAAAAAGTATATTGATATGCTTTACTGAGAAGATATGAATGCTATTAAAAGTTATTGAATATAAGATGAAGAATTACAGTACACCAAGACAGTACACCCGGGAGGAGACAGTTGTGTCAGGAATTCTATTCCTGGGGGCAGTGCATACTTCCATGATCTAGAGTTGAATAAAACCAAGCCTGAGGCAAAAAACATATCATTGCAATAGAAACGTGATAGTTGATATAGTAGAAAGAATATAAATATATTTTTAGAATACACAATCATTTTGAAAGAAGAAAAAATCAATTAATCTTGAAACGGAGTTAAATTGGTTTGGAAAATACGGATAATACTTGAATCAACTTGTTGCTCGAGAAAATGCAACAACTGTTTTCGTATTCGACCATGAAATGTACGACAAATTAATATCTCATTCAAAAAATAGGTGAAACTTGTGATTTTAGGGTTCACATCAATAACAGCCATGATACAGCCATGATATGTAAGAATGAATATTAAGGAAAATTCAGTTTAATGTGAACTTCATAAACGCCAGAAAGTGAACATACATAACTGCAAAACTGCCGCTGTAAATCAGCCATTTTGGATCAGGTGAATATTATAAATGAGAAGCCCATATTGTTGAATTAATAATTATACTAATAAATTGTGTTATTTCAGCATAGCAAGTCCCAAGTTCAGAAGAATCAAACATTAATTCTGTAAACCAATATCACCAATGTCTCAAATTGAGTCCCCCTCTGAAATATATACCACCTGATCAGCCTTGGTCACATGACCAGACACAATGGCACACATACAATGTACATGTGGAACCCGAATTAGATCAAAGCAAGTTGACAATATTGAGTTTGAAAACAAAAACAGTTGCCTCAGTGTCTCCTCAAAACTGATGTCTAGAAACAATCCATACACACACAGTGTAAAGATCAATAACAGGAATAGCAATTATGCATGTTTTTTTTTTTATTTATATTGAATTCACTGGCTTCGTTGATGACTTTGTGCCATCTTGATGTCTATTC